AGAAAAAGTTGGTAAGCAGGTATTTCTGGATGTAGTCATAAAAACAGCCTCTTATGATCACGAAAAAAGAGATGATGATGAGACAATATGATGGGGGAGCTAGAAAGAAAATTAGAAAGCTATGCATACAGAATATTTGCCAAAGGAGGCAAAAAGCTACAGTACAAAACTGTGGTCTTTTCAACAAATGATGCTGGCAAAATTGGATTCAGCGGAAGATTGTAATTAGATTCTTATGTTATATGTATAAAAGTCAATTCAAAGTGGATGAAAAAATTCTTTAATACCAGAAACACAAAGAAATATAAAAATCACTGGGAATTATCATCAGGAGAATGACATGGACACAGACTTATTAATTTGAAAGGACACCAACCGCACAGAATCAAAACAGATGGGACTACATGAATACAAAATATTTATGTATGGAAACCTTTAGCAGTGCACACAGATACCCAACTATCAGGAGAGAATATGTACCAGCAACCCTTCAGATAGGGTTTACCTAGAATTACATAAATGACAAAGAACTAAAATTACCAATCAACAAAGAAAAAGGGCCAGTAAAGATCTTGAAATTGTTTAGGATCCCTAAATGTCATCATGGAAACCCACAGAAAAATTACTTTGAAATTTCGCCTCCCCCACACATAGAATAGATGTCATCAACAACCTAGAAAATGATTGGCAGACAGGACAAGGAGAAAAAGGAAGCCTTATTCACTAATGAAGTGGGAGGGTGTAAAGTAATCCAGCCATTGTGGAAACCAATCTGGAGATAATCTTTAAAAATTGAAGGGAGAAATAATATATGAACCAGTGTTTTCACTCCTCGAATGATACCAGAAGGCTCCCCACTATAATACAGAAATATATATATATATATATATATATATATATATATATATAACCTATGTGCACTGCTATTGCATTTATGATAGCTAAGCATTAGAAGCATTCTAACTATGTATCAACAGATGAATGGATAAAGAAAATGGTTTACATATGAAATGGAACAGCATTCAGCTGAGGAGAAAACTGCAGTAAATATATCAGGAAAGTGGTTAGACTTAGAATGTAGGAAATTAAGTGACCCAAACAGTATCAGAAATAAACACATTTTCCCTCATATGCATAAAATTGTGGATAATATATGCATATGAGAAAAAATATACATGTGGGCATGTATGCAGAAAAGAAATAAGAAAGTTTGAATATCAGGGTTTCAGAAGGACTGAATACGGGTAAGGAACACCACTTATGAAAAAGGACATAAATCAAATAGGTTTTCTACTACAAGTATATTAATGTGTACAGTATTTGGTTCTTGTTAATTTCGGTGAGTGAATTTTGATGTTTATAAAAATTATCCTAATATATTTTACAATATTATCAACAGCCCAAATTAAATGCACTCAACATCTGTGCATATAACATCTTGCTGGCTACCCCAGAGACTTGTTAAGCATTTCTCTGCCCTCCCATAAACCCAACATACCAGGTCAGGAGACCCATCTCTTCTGTTCTCTCCCCAGACTAACGTCAAAGAGATGACCCCAAATGTCAAGATGACAAGGAGACAGACAACCTCATCAGCCTGGCTGCATTTTTTGGTTCATAAAATGCCTCCTTACCCTTATCCCTTCTGTTTTCACATCCCTCCAGTCCTGCCCAAAAAATACCTAACCCACACCAGCCATGGAATTATACCTGAGTAGGTCTCTCAGAGAGTGGAGATAAAAAGTCTGATCTGCCTCTAAGAGCCCATACATTCCTTGGTGGCCAGATTCCCTCCACCCAGACCTTTGTGAACTTGCACTAAGTGCTAGAGCCCAATGAGGCACCAAGGAAGTTTCTGATTAGGCCAACATGTCCAACATTCCCTTTAAGTGCCCTATGTATGCTGGATGCTCCCACCCGCAGAAACAAGCTCTACTTAGGACCTATCCCTTATACATGTGCCCTGAACCCCCCGGCCTTCTTCATAGATGTGGGGGACCTTTGAATTTCTTCTGTCTCTCTGACTTGGGGCTGCGAGTCAACTGAGAAATATATTGGAATCCCACTTCCAAATGGGATTACAATATTTTTACATGCTCCTACCACAATTCCTCCCCTCCTTGGCTTCCAACCCCATGATTCCACTTGCATGTATCAGCCCCCTCCAGATTGTCAGCCTGCCTCCTGCTCACAAGGTTGGTGCAATTCCTTAAAGATTCACTTCACCACCTCAGGATATCATGCCCTAAACTGGGACGGAGGATACACATAGGGCCTTCGACTTTATAAAGAAAGATATGATGAAGGTCTCACCTTCTCAATTAAATTACTCAAAGAGATTCTCCATATCCATGGACCTCAGGTACCATTGGGCCTGAATACAGTCTTGGGAGGAGGCCAGAGACCTACTGCCCCTAGCCCCACCATTAGCTTGCCAAACCCCACCAACAGATTTTGCAATCCCACAACCCTCCTCACCCTGACACATTATCCATCCCCCTCTTACCCCATTGAGGATCATGAACCTTCGTTTCAGATAAAGGAGTTGTTACTTTCGATCTAATCAACCACACCATCTTTTCAGCAAATAGAACCAACCCCCAACTGATGGTAGACTGCTGGCTTTGCTATCAGTCTTCCCCACCCCCCTTTTATGAGGCATTGGCTATTCTTGCCGCATTTTCCACTACCAATGACTCTCACTATAGCTGATGGACTCCAGATAAATCCATTTTCCACCTCACCCTGCAACAGGTCATTGGATGTGACCTATACATCACTTCCCCTGCCCATCCTACCTCTCCCCCTTCCCATGCTTTGCTTTGCAACACCACTTTAGTCCTCAGCTCTCTTGATGATTTTGCTGTAACCCCAAATGGTTTTTACGGAGCCTGCCTTGATTGTCTTATACCCTGCATTTCCATTCCAATTTTCCAGAAGGTTGGCTTCTGTGCATTGGTGCAGGCCATCCCATGCCGATCCCATTCCTGTCCTGATGAATTCTTTCATTTCTGAGAGACCTCCCAAGACCTTTGCATATGTAGAGAACCCATTACAGCCATTACACTTGATGTCCTCTTATGAATTAGCATCGTTGGAGCCAGTACAGAAATCTCTGCCCTGGTGGATGGTAAATCTAACTAATAGAAACAAAGTGTATCCATTGACAGAGACATCAAGGATTTACAAAATCAAATAGACTATTTAGAAGAGAAACACCAATCCCTGGCAGAAGTGGTCTTATAAAACAGATGAGAATTAAATTTACTCTTCCTCCAACAAGGGGGTATTTGCATGGCCCTGAAAGAAGAAAGTTATTTCTATGTCATAATTCAGGCATCGTCTGCAATTGTATGTTCAGGGTACAAGAAGGATTAGAAAAAAGAAAGAAAAAAACAAGAATCCAGGTATCAAAATTAGTTCTCAATATCTCTGAAGCTGACCACATTGTTACCATCCCTCCAGTTACCCCTCATAGGGCTCTTTTTGGTGTTCTCTTTTGGTCCATGGACATTCCAAAAACTAGTTATCTGGGAGGCACCCAGATAAGAAGCTTGAGAGCATTGGGGAAGGCACCTTAGACTCCCATCCCATAAAAAGTGCCAAGGAGCAGGTCTACTCCTGGGGTCTCCCCCAAGAGAATTTCCTTACAGTGCTGTACAAGTTCCCCATCATTTATAGGGGCCATGCCTCTGTACCCCCTCTGCTGTCAAATCGGGGCTCCTCCTCTTAGTAAAACAAAAGGGAGGAATATGCTGGGAGCATCTCAGGTAACCTGATCTTTTGGAGCCAAACCTGTACTTTCTAAAGTCTAAAGATTTATATAATCGGCCTATAGCCCTAACAAAGCAGCCTTCTGGGGCTACTCAGAAGAGAAACCACAAAGGTAGAACATAGAAACTCCATGACCCAAAAAGATTGTCCAAAGTCAGCCAACCCTAACCATCACCTAGGCAATGGCCATTGACATACCCATTCTTCTCCCTCTTGAACTCTTTACCCTGTCAACATCCTGCTCTATGAGGTTAAACAATACCCTGCTATGTATACACCTAGCACTCAAAGCAACCCTCTCAACACCCTGCCTTTTTCCTGATCTACCGAGAATTTTAGCTAGCCTGCGAAAAATAAAATTTACTAGTTAATCAGAAATCTGTCTTACGGTATTTATTTTATGTCACTAGTCCCCATCCCCAATCCTTAGGTCTCTTGCTGGAGGATGACTTCCCGTGTGGCTGGACAGGATCTTGGTCAATATGATGGGCTATATCCATGATTTTCATCATTCCCATCATAAATGGCTGAAATAACAATAACAGCTTCTCTCCTTACACTCATTCACCCTCTTTCTATTTTAAGGTTTTATTCTACGATAAAGATTTTTTAAGTGAGCAAACGATGAGATATTATTGAAGTATATTTGCATGTAATTTAGGGTGGGATTTGTTTTTGTGAGGAATTTGAACCCTAGGCAAAGGATTTGTCTAACTGAATGTGTTTGATGTGTGAACTTCTAATGATGCATTGACTCATTAAATGCAGAATGCATGTGGTTATGTTTAAATAATTCCTCTGAAACTGGCGAAGAGTATAATCCAATTTTAGGTTCATAGTACTTAAAGTACTTAAACTTATTAAGTGAGAGGAAATGAAGTGCAGTGTTCATAATAGCAAATTTCTTTAAAGATTAAGGTCTTACTTAAAAGGAGCACAGGGTTTATTTTACTCTCTAGAAAAACACATTAGATTCTTCAAAAGCAGGAGAAGGAAAGGCAGTATTCTGCTAGATATCAGGGGCTCAGATCATTTTTTCCGGGGCAGTCATGGTCATCTATGGGTGATTTGAATTCTCCATTGTCTCATGGTGCCATGCTTCTTAACTTCTTAGGATTATTAGAGTCTAGTCTTTACTCAAGCTCTTAATTTGTTTTCCAGAAAGAAACCTATCTAACCTCATCTATGAAGAAAATGAAGGATCAAAATAAAGACATACATCAAAGAATGCTTTTAAAGTTTAATCCATTTTCATTTACCCACATCAGGCTCAAAATTTGTAATTTTTTTCTACTCTGATGTCGAGAACAGTAAATCTAATTCCATTTTGTACTAGTATTCTCATCATAATTCAGATGGTATAGGCTCTGGTAATAGTTATTAAATTTAATCATCAGTAATCCTTGCAAGTAGAATGATGTTGAATATAGCTCTTGATTTCTCTTTTACCAGAAGATGTTTGTTGTCTCACTCATTCCCAAGCTCACTCTGCTTTCTCTCCTCTCTGTATGCTGTGGGAATCTCATTTGTTTTCAGCTCATGAAGAGAACACAAAGCACAGGAATGTGGGGATGGTTTCAATTTGCTATTTCCTGTCAGAATCTTCAACAAATTAAGTATAACTTAAAGTTTGCATATCTTGAGATTTTTCTCAGAAGTCTACCATGTCAGGTACAACTATTTACACAGAGCTTTAATATATGGGTATAAATATTATATGATACAAATTTTCTGAATGTATTATGGAATCAAAATGAGACATGGTCAACATATTTTACATGGAAAATGGAAAAAATGAACGAAATTCCAGGAAAACGATCTTTTCTTCTTCCAAAATTTCCATGGATGTCTGCTGCATGAAGGCAACTTAACATAGAATTTACAAACAATAGTGCTAATAAGTACGAAGGTTTAGTTAGGAATTCAACAAGAAAAATGTTCTCACCCACAGTAACCAGGTTGCTTTAATTCTCCAGCCTCACATCAATGTACAAAGCCCTCTGAGCAGAGTTCAGGCATTGTCATTCCTCTTGGGAGAAGGCCACAGACACATCCTTGAATATCAACAGACCCTGGAACAAGAGAATTGTTTGACCTTGTACTAGTAGAGTGCATTCTTGTAAATAGGTAGACTTGAGGAAATTAGGGATGTAAATGTTGAAGGCATTTAATCAGACCAATGATTTTAATATAGTGACCTTGTATAATGGATGTTCTACCTCTGTATAAACAGTGTGACACAACAGGTTCACAAGCAATACACACAAAACTACACACATTTAATGTCTGGACATTGTTATGTATCTGTTTTGGATGCTGTGATTATGTCCCATAGGATCAGAGTGTACATGACACAGAAGGAACACTTATGGTGAGGAAAAGTGCTTTAATTGCTGTTCCTGTAGATCATGGCCATGTACTGCTCTTCTAACAATTCTGTGAATTCTTTGATTTCACATGATTCTAGTCTAACATATTCAGCTTGTGTGGTTGAAATTTATGTCTCTTGCCATTCCATTACATAGCAATGTGGTAGATATGTAAGGTATAATTCATGGTTAGATTCACAGGCAAATATTTTTTTCTTTTTTCCACTTTAATTCTTTGTGTAATAACATTGCATACTGTTACTTTAAACATTAACATATAAGAGCAGGTAATCCGTGGGAATACTTTTACATGTATTTTTGAGTCATTCACAAGCAGCTAGAAAAAGAAACTTCAACGACATTTGACACCATCTAAACTTTACCTAACATAATAGGATTGTGACAACTTAGGCTAAATAACAATTTCAGATATTTGGGAGAATATTTCATTTCTGTTGAGTTCTAAAAATTGAGGGAAGGCCTGTTACAGGATATTTTCTTGCATTGCATGCATGACCATGTGTGTAATTTTTGCTTCACCTGCCTAATATGCCTGATTGGTTCAATAAAGAGCCAAATGACCATTAGCTAAGCCTGATTTTCATGGAAATAGAGAACAGGGGGAGATTCTGGTGGGGAAGTAGATGCCAGCAAGACCAATAGCAAAATGTAAGCAAAGAAGGACAGGTAAAAAGATACATGACAGAACATAAATTAATTGAAGCAGGCACATTTGAATTAGAAGATGTAGATTGGAACAAACCTAATTAAAGGCCAAGTTTTCACAAATGATATCTCAGTGTCATAATTGGAGACCTGGTTTCCCAATAAGATAAATCCAAGTACAATGTCTGAAAATAAATACTGTGATGTTTAAGTCGTTTCTAAGCAAGTACTCATAATTATAAATGTGGATTCATTCAGAAATGACATATTTAATGTCAGTGAAAGAATATATGAAATTCTGTCAGAAAGAGGAAACCACATTTTCCTCATACTCAGACACTGGTCAATAATAAGTATATATGAGAAACAATATGCCTGAGGGCACACCAGAATACTGAGGAAAGCAAAGAAGAAAGACTGAATATCGAGGTTGAGATAGGACTGAATAAAGGTAATGAACACCACTTATAAAACCAGATATATACACAAATTCTATTCTACCTCTAATACTATCACAGTTATTTTTCTTTTTCCAATGGATAAGTTGATAAATATTTATTCAAAAACCAATGTGTAAAACTCCTTTTGTCATACTCCAGCGGTTCTGTTCCTAATGACTATTTATTTTTGGGGGAGAGTTTGAAGCAGGCTTTCTCTGTGGCTTTGGAGGCTGTCCTGGAACTAGCTCTTGTAGAACATGCTGGGCTCGAACACACAGAGATCTGCCTACCTCTGCCTCCCAAGTGCTGGGATTAAAGGCTCCCAATGAATATACTTACTAAATGAATGTACATTTTTGTACAGAGTTTGGGTCTGGTTAATTGCAGCGTTTGTATTTTTTGTTGTTTGTTTATTTGAAAAAATTACATAATAAAATTTAAAATATTTCCAGCAACAAAAATTAATGACTTGCAGTATCTGAACATATAATATTTCCAGAAAAGTGAGTATGTTCACTGACCTGTGACATGGTTACTGGAGATATAGTCATTTATTTCTGCTTTTATTATTTTAGTTTCTCTTTCTGGAACAATGGGCATATAGATGGCTTGCACTTATTCATATAAGGGATGAAAAAAAGAAAAAATTAATACTTAGAGCTGTTAAATTAATGTCAAATACCAGATATCCAGATAATGATCCTAAATCAGAGAACATTGAACGTCATTTAAACTTGAAGGGAAAATCAGTCTCAACAGTATTATTATATCAAGTAAGAAATTTATCTTAAAATTGATAGAGACAGAAGTGCATTTCAAAATCCTCTCATGCTAAGATAATTATTTCAACTAAAGCAGTTTTGCAGACAATAATTAGAGTTAAAATTTATACAGGAAAATCTGAGGTTTTACCCACGAGAATATGGGATATAATTAACTTCATGTGAGGAATCCTAAATTCCACAGAACTGGGAGTTAATCATACTGCTAATAATAAAAGGTAGCTACAACATCAAAAAGAAAGACATAGTAAATAAAAATGCCATGACCAATAATCTAGCCACTCTGGAAATCTATATGGACAAATCCTTAAATAAATAAATCCTCGACTTAAATAAATTTAGCAAGTCAACCCGGCTCTGTCATTCCTTGGCATATTCTCAAAGGACTTCTCCAAAAGTACTTGTTCAGCTACATTCATTGCTGCTCTCTTCACAATAGCTGCGAAATGAAAGCATCCTAAATGTCCCTCAACTTGACAAACTGATAATGAAAATGAGGCACACATAATCTACGAAATACTCTTCATCTCTAAAGAAAATTGAAATCATGAGATTTTCAGCTAAATAGATGGACCAAGAAAAGATCATATTGAGTGGATACACTCAGACCCAGAACAACAGAGATGGCATCTCCTCTCTTATAGGAAGTTTCTTAGCTCCAAACTTTAGATGTGAGTACACAACCTGAAGTAACCAGAATATCCACAAAAGAAAAAGGAGACTCCTGTGTGGAGCAGGGGAATAACGGGCAGGAGAAAAAAAACAGGAAACAATGATATAAAAATGAGGAAATGGAATATGTGTGTCTGTCTTTCTGTCTCTGTGTGTGTGTGTTTAATGGAGAAGAGACAGACACTAACAAAAAGAGAGAATAAGATAACATTAAGGATGCCTGAAAAGGTCTTTAAGCTTCTAAATATTATCATCTATAAATGTGGCCGTAATACATCTTAGTGTCTATAAGCATATACAGTTAGAGTATAAATGATATCTTCCTGTCTTACTTCATGATCATCTTCACCGGACCATGGACATTCTTACAAAGCACCCACAGCATCCTGCTTTAATATTGTTGGTCACTGCTGTCCTTGACATTTCCAAAACAGTTCAATCTACTGTGGCTGTCCCTGTTGCCTCCCAGATGTATCAGTTGAGCCCCTAAGCTGAAGTATCAATGTGCTTCAGTCAGCCAGAAGACTGTTTATTCTCTGTGCAGGTCTTCTTGGCGTGTCAATGTGTGACGTGACAACCTGAATGTTCATGGGGCGGCCATCTAAAGTGACACCATTGTACTGTTTCATAGCGTCCAGGGCATCTGCCTTCCATTCAAAGTGCACATGTGCTGTCCCCAAATGTCGTCCAGAGCGATGATAGTGCACAGCAGCTTTCTTCAGTGTTCCAAACTCTGCGAAGAGTTCCTGAATATCCGAATCTGACACCCCGCAGTCAAGGTTTGACACCAACAGCTGTCCACCCATCTCCATGCCGGTTTCACCCCAGAAGCTTCTGTCGAAGAGGTCATGCTGCCACTTCTTGGGAAGTTGTTTAGGCCTGCTGTAGGTAGCCAGCGGGTCCCTGATGCTGCCTGCAATGCTGCCAGAGACACAGGGCTGGTTCCTCAGAGGCCCGCTGTCTCGATTTCCCTGCATGGAGGCCTGCATGGTACCGCAGCGGCCGCCCTGGGAACCAGCCCTGCTGCAGCCCCGGCCTCCACCAAGACAGCCTTGCTGTCTCTGGTTCAGCTTAATGATGTCGTCCAAAGACATATCCATTTTGTCGGCCATGGCGGACACGCAATCGGGCCTCCTGTTCTTCAGAATTCTAATTCATGTTAATAAACCTGGAATCAGATATCAGGGTGTACACTTAAAAATTGGATTACAGACCCTTGTCAACACCACCTGCTTTATAACTCCTTTTCTAGCTGGGAAAACACTGGGAACTGGTACCATGAAACAGTATCCTGTGCTTTTCCAGGCTCAGGAGTGCAACACGAAGTACTCAGTACAAAAATACCAATTTTTTTTCTTTTTCAGAGAAATGTTCTCATCACGAAGCCCAGGTCATTGTAGAACTCAGTATGGCAAAGGGATACCATATATCTCACTGAGATCCAGCTGTCTTTGCCTCACCAGTGGTGGGATTAAAGTTGTTTGCCACAAAGCTGTCAAAACACTTTTCAGAATTCTATATTCACTTAAGAGTGCATATTTCTAAGATGAAAAATTAGTGTTGGGTAAAAATTTCAATTTTAAATGTCAGTGTTTACACCTATGCCTATGGAACTCAAGAAACACTAACATTGGATTTGATTTCATTTCCTGGTTGGGAATGCACAGTCCCTACTTTTTATGTACCACTGTTTGAATAGGAAAGTGATTTAACGTGGAAGTGAGCATGGATGACTGTATACAAGAAGAGCTTTGTCTTGTCTATTGTAGCAAACAGAACTTTTTGCAAATATCAACGCTTAAATTCAAATATTCTGCTAGATAATTCTATAAGAATATTTTACAATGAATATCAGTAAAAGGTAAAGAATAGTCAAGTTCATATAATGTGGACTTTGTTCATAATGGTAACACATCCACAGCATAAATTCAGTGCCAGATTTCTTATAAACAGCAGAGAAATTATTCACATCCCTAGACCATTCCTTCTTGTGTCCTGTGCTGTTGACTGGTGACTTTCCTATGACTCCTGACCAGGAACCTGTGGCTGTGGATAGTTTTTGGATCACAGTATCTTGACCTTTCCTCCACACTTAGGTTTGTAACCTGTGATTCCCTTCATTGCAGGCCTGGAAGTTCTACCTGTGAACTGGTGCTTGACATTTAAATCTTTTGTTACTTGGTATCCCAGAATCCAATGACTTTGAATCCTCTGCCTTACTCAATTCTACAATCTTTCCCTGCACACTTCTAAAATCCAACCCTCTCCCAACTTCTGTTTACATCTAAGTGGCCCCACAACAATGTACCAGTCATTTCTGCTGACTTGGGCTGCCTTCAATACAGCACCAGCTGTGAGGTATACTTGAACTACTCTGCACAAACTCCCCAAACACTTGCTGCCAATATACACTATAACTAGAACTAGAAGGACCCTGTGCCCCAGTATCTGATCCCCACAGTTAGTATGAATCCTTTAAATAAAAGATTGGCAGATTAACCTTGACTTGGCTACCAGATTCCTGGGCTACATTTTACACGAAAAGATAACACCTAAACTCAGAAGCCAGCTTCTCATGGTCAACACAAATATGACAAGCCAAAAGTAAATACTGCAATTGTGACTTGGGGAGAGACCTTTCAGGAACTTGGATTCTGAAAAGAAGACTCATGCCTTAAATCCCACCACAGGGGAGGCACAGGCAGACTGATTACTGTGAGTCCAAAGCCTGTCTGTTTTACAGAGCAAATTCCAGTACAGGCTCCAGAGAAATACAGAGTAACCCTGTCTCAAAATCCAAAACAAAAAAACAGAAAAAAAAAAGAAATAAAAAAAGGCCAGGTAGTTTTGGTGCACAACTTTAATAACATCAATCAGGATGCAGAGGCAGGCAGATCTCTGTGAGTTTGAGACCACACTGGTTTACAATAGCTAGTTCTAGGCCAGCCTCCAAAACCACAGAGAAACCATGCCTCCAACCTCCCCCCCAAAATATGTGTCTCAATATGTTAGTGACCAGTGCATGCCAGTAGCTAACCGCTGAGTTCATCCTGCACTGTACTGCTGTCACCAGTAGATGGTGGTCTTATCATTGTAGTAACTCAAAAACATGTTTGTCTTCTGTGGCTGATGCTAACTAAGGTGCTTAGACCACCATCCAACACACACTGCCCCCACCTACACCTAGGTGAATGCCAAGGCCAGATGCAGAAAATAGGAAAGGTATGTGTAGTGATATTTTGTTGTAATCTAACACACAAAGCTTGCCTGATAATTAGAAAAGCAAAGTGGCCAACCCCTAGCTCTTACCTCTGTCTCAGTCAAAATGGGCAATACTGTCTCAATGAATCCTCAGACTGCAATGATCTCCACCAAACCTCACATTGCACTGCTCCTGTCTCCTCCTGCCTTATATTCCTCTCTCCAACAAGTCATCAATCCTGTTCTCACCTCCCTAATCCTGGGATTAAAGGCTTTTGACCCTAATTGCAGGGATCAAAGGTTTGAGCTCCCTTTCTCTTTTAGATTAAGTCATTCTTGTCTAGGCCAGGGAGGCCATGATCTAACAGAGATCCATCTGCCTCTGTCTCATTAGTGCTGATATTAATTGCATGGCCACCTCTGCATTGTCTCTATGATTAACTAGTGGCTTAGGTGTGTGACTAACTAGTGACTTTGATCTTAACTAGGAGTGTACCTATCTAGTGGCTTAGCTCTGCAGTCTGATGGTAAGGCAAGCTTATTGTTTAGATTATAAACAAAATATCTCTACACTTGCATTTTTGTCAAAAATAAAGTTACAACTAATATATTATACATACAAACTTCATTTGTTTGAATACAAACAAAATATCTCTATGGGTATATGCTGCCTGGCCTAACATCATTTATACCTTCAGTCTAAGGCTCTGGGAACACTGAGGAAGAGGAGGAATAAAGGAAATTAGATGGGAAAGGGCTAAGACATGCCATTCTCTAGACTCCTTACAGCTGTTGCAATCAGTAACTAACCACAGCTGTATTTACTTGCACTGACCTCACACTAGACCTCAATCAGTAAATCAATCTAGGAAAGGGAAAGACTCACAGAGCCCCACCTTCAATTCTCAAATCCTCACTGTGGATGCATTTTACGAGGAGATACATTGTCTTTGGCTGTAGTCTTCTCTTGAGCCCAAGTTCCAACACACAGTTCCAAATCCTCAGTCTCACAAAAGTCCCTGGTTAATCCGGTGTATCTCAATCAAAATCAGTAGAGAGGAACACAGTGGAGTAGAAATGTAGGAGGTGAGGGGAGGGAGTATTTGATATGTGCATGCACAAAAATCACAGGCAGTGAGTGTATACATGCATACGTGTGAGCAGAAAACTGGGATTGTAATATGTGTCACCATGTAATACTATTCAGTTGTAAGAAAAATTGAAATCATGTTTGCAGCTAAATGGGTGACTCTAAAGAGATCACACTGAATGAGACAAGTCAGACCCAGAAAGAAAGACAAAGTTCCTAGCTCCAAATCATCAAATGGGAGTCCACAACCTGAAGTAACTGGAATACCAGACAAGTAAAAGGAGATTCCTGTGGGGGGTGGAGGAACAATGGACAGTAGAAAAAAATAAACAGGAAACGATGATGTAAGAAGGGAGAAATGCAATACAGATGTGTGTGTGTGTGTGTGTGTGTGTGTGTGTGTGTGTGTGTGATTAATGGAAAAGGAGCAGACATAAACACAGGAGAGAAAGGGAGAAATATAACAGTACAGATGTCTGAAAATGTCATAAGTATTCTTACTATTATCATCTATCAAAATGCCTATAATACATCTCTGTTTCTGTAAGGATATGCAGTTAGAGCATAAATGAAAATTTTCCATCTTAGCTGATGATGCCCCTCAAAAGAACCACAGATTTCTAACAGAGCACCCACAACAGTCTGCTTTGATAATGTTGGTCACTGCACTCCTTGAGATTTCTAAAACAGTTCAGTCTACTGTGGTTGTCCACTTTCCCTCACAGGAGTAGCATTTGAGACCCTACAGTTGAAGAAGCCATGTGCTTCAGTCACACCCAGTAGACTTGATGTGGAACAGAATATAAACCCTCCTCCCTGGGGCTAGCTTTCCTGGTATCATAAGGCAGCATGCAAGCTTTTAAGGGCGGGAACCAACATCCTACCCAGGTATGAAAATTATTCATCATAAGAATGATCTACCCTGCATGATAACATGAAGGGTGCTGTAGTGGCACAAACAAATTGGTGGTAACCAACAGCTTCTATTTGGACTTAAGTACTGTTGAACAAGAGGGAAATCATGTCCAGCCCTGGAAAACTATCCTGTTTCTGGTGGTTAGGGAAGGATGGATCTTGAAGGAGAATCTAAAACCACTATGTATGAATCACATGCATATTCATATAAAATTGGTTTGCCTACCACTGTCAATTCTCATGTGGAAATTCTAGTAGTTATAGTAGGATAATTCTGTGATCTCTGTCAGTGGATATCTCTAGAATTATTTATATTGAACCGACTGTGGCAAAAGTGAATTCATCTCATCAGATCTTTAGCTACTGTCTCCTCTCCCTCCTTTTTCCAGGGCTCCTTGTTTGGCTCCGCAAGTAAGCAGGTCTGGGTGATCAGTGAGTCCTGCACTTGGGAAAGAGATCGTTTAGAAAGTACCTAGATTTCCAATGCAGTAGTATACTAAGTAGATAAAGACACAGAATTCTTCAAGCGATTCTCCATTGTCATGCAGAGTCATAATACTGAAAATACCTAGAAAGCATTTTCAGTGAGTGTAACTTGAATGCCACTTCGAATCACTTCCCAGTCAAATCTCAGGATAACAAATGGAACTGAATGATCAGAACCAAAAAAACCATAAAAGAATATATTAAATAATTCATTATAGATCAAATTTGTTGGAAGTCTTAAATTTGCCAAAGGGAAATACACTTAAGATGTAATTTTACAAGAAATACTGAGGAGGAGCAAACAAGCTGTTCTCACCCACAGATACCAGACTGCTCCAAACATATGACAACATTTCTGAGTTCAAAGCACTGTAAGTAAAATGTCCACAGTTACATAACTGGGATGAAACAGAACAAAATTTAAACCACAACAGGATTTGTAGCCAGAATACTAATTAGTCTTAATAAACCCAGGGTCAGAAATCAGAGTTAATGCGGAAAGATCAGAGAATCAAAGACCCAATCCCACGTGCGACTTCTTACCTCTCTTGAATCCTCAGGCCAAAATGGGGAGAACCTGTGTCTAGCAATCCTCAGACTGAAGGGGGTGAGCTGGCTCTCTTCCTGACTTATATACCTCCCTCTGCCAAGCCACACCCCTTCTGTCTCCACCTCCCCAGTGCTGGGATTAAAGGTGTGAGCTCAGTTTCTCTTTTAGAATGATTCAATCTCTTGTAGTTCATGGTGGCCTTGAACATTTCCTCATTTCAAATGCTTAAATTAAAGGTGTGGGCACCACTGCCTGGCCTCTATGGCTACCTAGTGGCTAGATCTACACTCTGGTTTTCAGACAAGCTTTATTTGTTAGAGCATAAACAAAATATCACGATAAGGTGGAACAATTGTTTTGGGGCACAAGTTTAATCCTAGTATTTTGGAGAAACAGGTGAGGAACTCTCTGATGTCTAGTTCCATTTCTTCTACATGTTGATACCAGGGAAATACAGAGAAACACTGTGAGTTCAGGTCTCAAACACAGTAAACACAAGAAACAAAATAAGTTTGGTCATATTGAAAGACCCCTACCCAGGACTCCCTAGGGAAAGAAAAACAAGGCCAGGACATTGCCTAATGAAAAAACCCAGACCAGGTGCCTCGCCCAGCTGGCAGGATGTCAAACAGGATCTATGGTCACCAGAGCAGTCATGGGACCCGGATAATAATTGCTGAAGCATGCCGGGGTCTTTCATGAGGTAATACCAGGAAACTTAGTACGTGGGAACTACCCCTGCCCCCAAGATAAACCAATGAAATGCCTGTTGCTATGCTGATACTTATGTAACCATTAAAACTCTATAAATATTGTGCTCCCTGCAAGCCCGGTATGCTCTGCACCCGAGTTGCAGTAGCATCCGCAGGTGCCTGTGTACTCAATGAATCACCTCTTGCATTTGCATCCAGTGGTCTGGCCCCAGTTCTTGGGCACAGGGTTCGGTTCAGTGCCCGGCGCTTTGATGCTGAGGTCTTTCAATATGTCCATGGACAAAGTGCTTAGCTTGGACCAAGGAGACAAAAGACGTTTCTGGATATTTTTCTAATATTGATGAGTTGTCATAATTCTAAAAGATGCTTTTCAATTTTATCCTATATTATACTACATTCTCTTTTTTCCTCCTTCCCCACACTCTGGGGACATGGTTTCTCTGTGTAATCCCAGCTATCCTTAAACTCCCACTGTAGACCATGCTGGCATGAATCTCCAAGATACACCTGCCTCTGCTTCCCAAATGCCAACAATTCCTGTTTTATAATACCTTTCTAAATGTGAAAATAATGTGATCTGATACCATGAAACAGTATACTGTGGTTTTCCATGCTCTACGGTGACACATTAAGAAGTCAGCACAAAAAAAACATTTCATTTTTTCTTTTCTTTTTTATCTGAGACAGTGTCTCAGCATGAAGTCTTGGTTGTAGTTGAACCCTCTATTGAGACCAGACTCCCTGCCACACATTTTGATTCACCTGTCTTTGCCTGCGCAGTGTTGGGATTTTAAGTGTTTACCACCAAACTCTCAAAGACACTTTTCAGAATGCTGAATTAAATTACAGTGTGCCAAATTCTAAGATGGAAAATTAATGGTGGTTAAGTATTTCACTTTTAGGATGTGAGGGCAAACTGGCTGTGACATCTGTCACCCCATTGATCTCCAGGGTTGGTTCGGCTGATCTGGCTAGCTAGGAGGGTATCCACTCCCTCCTTCACCTCTCCATGTGTGTCCCTCCCGAAGCTGGGATTGAGCTGGGGAATGGAGCCCACAGTAGATTTTTTTGGAGACATGCACACAACAATGGCACAGACAAGGACAGATAAGTTACCATGGGAATAGTTTGATGGAGAAAGGGCTTTAGCATTTCCAGCTGACACTTGTAGACCTTCTTTATCATTCTGTGGATTCATCCTTTGTACTTAGCACGTTGGTTCTTAAACCAGGTCTGGAAAGACAAAAAAGATGTCACAAGAGACTGCTGTGCTATTGCAAACATGCTAGATACAATACTTGTGTCTAAAAACTACCTATTTAAATCCATAGTTCTGGGGATCCAAAAGAAAGTAGTAAGGGAGCAAGGTTTATGATCTGACACATACAAACTTGGGAATCTTCAGCTACAATTTCTGGGGTTTTACAAAGGTCTATGATGTCTGGGTACATGACACATTGCCAGTACCCATATTAAATGGTAACCAGGTCGAGCTATAGATGCAAATTGGTCCACCTTACACAAATTTTCCAAACTATGCCAAGCATTTAGGAATCAAGGAGACTGTGGTATTCTGCTTATTATACTGCTACCCTGGATATTCTGTCTGCAGTAGAGAGAGACAACAAAAACACAGACCTTAATCACATACTCAGTCATGCCAATAATCAGTGCCAGCTCCATGCCTTGATCAAAGCTTGGGTACTTGCACTGATCAAAATGTTCTTGGAAGAGGAGATTTTGTTCCTTAGAGTACATGGTACATTTCTTCTGCTGTTTATTTGGAGATTCAGGGTGAACTTGCTTGTCACCGTATTTATTTGATGGTACCAGAGGACCTAGGGAACTCTCAGAACCAAAACTGAGTGAAGAACATGACAGCATATGTTGAATATGGTTCACTATATTTGTTCCCAGTGTTGGGAGACTTATACCCACTGGGAAACTTGATTTCATTGATTGTTCTGGGGACACTAGTGGTCCTAGGTTCCTTTCAGGATCTAAAAGACATTGGACACTAGCTTGTATTAAGTTTCCTGAAGGAAATCAGGGACACTGGCACCATTGCATACTTGAGTTTTTTGTAGGCTCTTGAGGCATTTGAAAATCTGTTTCCCTAGGGGCATATTGAGGCAGTTGGTAATCAAGATAAGAGGGTGGCTCTTGCAGAATATGGGGATTAAAATGTTTTTACTTGGCTGGGTCTTTAGAAAGACATCTAGACATTGGTAGACATGTAATCATACTGGGATGTTATGTTACTGGAGAAACTTCATATCCTGGACAACCTGAACATATGGAAGTGGATCAGTCAACCTGCACAGACCCCATACTTTGCATATAAAGCCTTTGGAGCATTTTCTCCCATGTTCTATGGAGTAGAGATCATTCCAGATGTTCAGCCTTTGTCTCTACCTGCTTCTGTGTCTCCCATACCTGTGTTATCATTATTGAAATTAACACACATTTACTGAGTCCATAAAGCAATTTAAGCTAATGAACTCTGGAAATGGAGAAGTTTAGGCAATGTGTGAAAGTTCTAGGTACACTTATCTATGTCTGGTTCCTTGTATACAAAAAGTATACAAGAGAGTATACAAGAGAGTATTCAAAGAGAAATTCACACAGCCAAAATCAAAGACTGCTCCTGTAGGCTCCCCTGACATATACAGAAGTCTTTATAGCCACCTCACCTTGGATATCAGCAGATTCAACCCATGTTACTGAGATCCCCACTGGTATTGAAACCCTACTCTTAGGACATAACCTTAAATTTACATCCACCTTGGACAACCCAGAACGTCTACCTATTATAACCAGTCATCATCCACCCTTCCCTCCCTTTATTGTCAATCAGTATTCCCCTCCCGCTAAGGAAACCCTGGCCCAGATCAGGATATCTTTCTCTATTGAGAAGATATATGCAGTGATAATTTGGTTGGAGTCTGTAAAACTGGCAGAGGCCTGCAGCCATCCTCTAAGGTCTCCTGCCCATCTAGAACCCCTGTACAAAATAAATTTGTACTGCACTGGACAGTGACCATATTCATAAATGGGCCTCTAATCAGATTATTGCAAAGTGACCCTCCTGTTTCCATCCCAGGTCCATCATCCCATAATTCATTCATTCTCATGTTTTCATTTTTTTCCAATTGAGACAGAGTCAACCCACAAAGTCTTTACTGTCCTCTATCTGCCCAACTCACTGGGATTCCTGTCCACTGCCTCCTCCTTGGGCAATGGGAAGTTTAGTACACATATACAGTATGGTTACCCATTCTTGATGGGGAAGGACCTTCTCAGTCTTAGACCTTACTGTGTGTCACTCATTTTTTTATTTTATATATGTTTTTAATTTAAATTAGAAACATGCATGCTTCAAATGTCTATCCTGGTTCCCCACTTCTGCCTCCACCAGCCCCACCCCAACTGTCAACCCCCAGCCCAATCCCCACAGCATTCCCCAGGGAGGGTAAGGCCCTCCTTAGGGAGATCTCCAGAGTCTGTCATTTCATCCAGGGCAGGACCTAGGTCCTTCCCCATGTGTGTAGGCTGAGAGAGCATCACTCCATTTGGAATGGACTCCTAAAGTTCATTTGTATGCCATGGTGAACACTAGTCTACAACCCAAAGCCCCAGAGATTTCTATGGCCTCCTCACTGACACTACATTCATGGAGTCGGGATCAGTCCCCTGTTGGTGTTTTAGTCATCAGTCTGGGATTCAAGAGCTCCCCGTTGTCCAGTCAGCTGTCTTTGTGGGTTTTACCAGCACGGTCTTGACCACCTTACTCATCACACCTCCAACTCTGTTACTGGGTTCCAGGAGTTCAGTTCAGTGTTGTGAGTATCTGACTCAGCTTGCATCAGTCACAGGATGAAAGTTCTAGGATGTCACCAACCTTATCATCAGGTAGGGGCTATTAATGTAGTCTCTCCGCTATTACTTAGATTTCCAGTTGGTGTTATCCTTGTACATCTCTGGGAATCTTACTAGTGTCAGCTCTCTCCTCAAAGCTATAATGACTCCAACTATTATGGTATCACTCACCCTGGTCTCCTCTATTCTCACCCCGACTCAGCTTTCCTGCTCCCCCATGTCTTCTTCTACCCTCCTCTTATTCCCCTCTCTTTTTCTTGGTTCCCTCTCTTCTCCCCCCATGTTCCAAATTTGCTCAGGAGATCTTGCCTCTTTCTAATTCTCTAGGGTATAATGCATATCTCTTGGGAACCTCCCTGTTTCCCAGACTCACTGGCAATGGGATTGTAGGCTGACACTCCCCTAATTCATGTCTAAAATCCATATATGAGTGAGTACATACCATGTTTGTCTTTTTGTGACTGGGTTACCTCACTCAGGATGGTTTCTTCTAGTACCATCCATTTGCCTGCAAATTTCAAGATTCTGTTGTGTTTTTCTGCTGAGTAGTACTCCACTGTGTAAATGTACCATATTTTCTCTATCCACTCTTCAGTTGGGGGCATCTAGGTTGCTTCCAGGTTCTAGCTATTTCAAATAATGCTGCTATGAACATAGTGGAACAGACATCCTTGTTGTAAGAATGGGCATCTTTTGGGTATATGCCTAAGAATGGAATTGCTGGGTCATGTGGTAGACTGATTCTCATTTTTCTGAGGAATCTCCATACTGATTTCCAAAGTGGCTGTACAAGTTTGCATTCCCACCAGCAATGGACAAGTGTTCCCCTTTCTCCACATCCTCTCTAGCATAAGCTGTCATTGGTGTTTTGATGATTTCTCATGGTTGTTTTGATTTGCATTTCCCTAATGGCTAAGGATGTTGAGCACTTTCTCAAGTGTCTCTCAGACATTTTGGTCTCCTCTATTGTGAGTTCTCTATATAGTTCAGTCCCCCACTTTTTAATTGGGTCCTTTGGTGTTTTAGAGAATAGCTTCTTGAGTTCTTAGTAAATTTTGGAGATCAGCCTTCTGTCAAATGTGGGTAAATGAGTATCTTTTACCAATCTGTGGGTTGTCTTTTTGGCTTGCTGTCTGTGTCCTTTGCCTTACAGAAGCTACTCAGTTTCAGGAAGTCCCATTTATTAATTATCAATCTCAGTGTTTGTGCTACTGGTGTTATGTTCAGGAAACAGTCTCCTATACCAATTTGTTCAAGGGTACCTCCCAATTTCTCTTCTAACAAGTTCAGTGTGGATGTATTTATGTTGCAGTCTTTGATACATTTGGACTTAAGTTTTCTGCGTGGCAATAGACATGTGTATATCAGGAGTCTTCTACATGCCAATATCCAGTTAAGCCAGCACCATTTGTTGAAGATGCTATCTTTTTTCTATTGTATAATTTTAGCGTCTTTGTCAAAAATCTGCTGTTCATAGGTTTGTGGATTAATCTCAGAGTGTTCAGTTCTATTACACTGTCTATTTTTGTGCCTATATCAAGCTGTTTTCAGGACTGCAGCTCTATAATAGTGCTTGAAGTCAGGAATGATGATGCCTCCAGATGTTGCTTTGTTGAGCAGGATTGTCTTGGCTATTCTGGGTCTTTTGTTTTGCCATATAAAGTTGAGAATTGTTCTTTCAAGGTCTGTGAAGAATTGTGCTGGGATTTTAATGGGGATTGCGTTAAATCTGTATATTGCTTTCATTAAGATTTTCATTTTTACTATGTTGATCCTACCTATTCAAGAGCATGCAAGACCTTAACACCTTCTGGTGTCTTCTTTACTTTCTTTCTTTAAAGACTCAAAGTTCTTGCTATACAGGTCTTTCACTTGCTTTGTTAGAGTTACCCCTAGGTATTTTATATTGTTTGTGGATATTGTAAATCGCAATGTTTCTCTGATTTCTTTCTCAGCCCTTTTATTGTCTGTACAAAGTAGGGCTACTGATTGTCTTCAGTTGATCTTGTATCCTGACACTTTGCTGAAAGTATTTATCTGCTGCAGGAGTTCCCTGGTAGAGCTTTTTGGGTCACTTATGTGAACTATCATATCATCTGCAAATAAGAAAAGTTTGACCTCTTCCTTTCCAATTTGTATTCCCATAATCTCCTTTTATTGTCATATTACTGTAGCTATAACTTCAAATACAATATTAAAGAGGTATGGACAGTGAACAGCCTTGTCTTTTTCCTGATCTTAGAGAAATTGCATTGAGTTTCTGTCCATTCAGTTTGATGTTGACTGTTGGTTTGCTCTATATAGCTTTTATTATGTTGAGGTAAGTTCCTGTTATCCCAGACCTCTCCAAGACC